AGATGGCTCAGAGGTTAAGAGCACTGCTCTTCCAGAGGTCCTGAGTTCAATTCCCAGCAACCACATGGTGGCTCACAACCATCTGTAATGAGATCTGGTACCCTCTTCTGACCTCTAGGGACACATGCAGGCAAAACACTGTATACATAATAAATAAATGAATCTTTAAAAAACATTATGTGGCTGTGTATGGCTGTCTACATGTGTGTATGTGCAGGTGAAGGAGCTGCCCACGGGGGCCAGACGCTGAGGTTCCCCTTGAGCAAGAGGTACAGGCGGCTGTGAGCTGCCCACTGTGAGTTCTAGGAACTCAACTCTGGTCCTCTGCTAGAGCAGTGAGTGCTTTTGACCACTGAACCATCTCTCCAACACACACACACACACACACACACACACACACACACACACACACGCACACACGCACACACGCACACTCATACACACACTCACATACACACTCAGTCACACACACTCACACGCACACACACAGTATTTTTAACTGTGAAAAGGGAGACTAGAGTTTTTAAAAATTAATTCTGGATATGAGATTTTAGCAGACATGGTGGTGTTATATGTCTGTGCTATAATATAAAATTTTGCAAGTATGGCCACAAGAGCAGAACTCAGCAGGAAGTAACAAGCAAGCCTCCGCAAGTCAGGAATTTAAAATCGGTTACGCTTTCAACCCTTGGTTTTGTCTCATGATATTTACATTACACTACTACAATACAACCCAAATTATAATGAAAAAGTTTCTTGTGTCTATATAATTTGAGAAAGTATTAGGATTTAACAACAAAGCTTTTGCCATGTGGTGGTGGCACACACCTTTAATCCCAGCACTTGGGAGGCAGAGGCAGGTGGATCTCTGTGAATTTGACGCCAGCCTGGTCTACAGAGCAAGCACCAGGACAGCCAGGGCTACACAGAACAACCCTGTCTCGAAAAACAAAACAAAAGTAAACAATGTACATTGATGTAATCTTCAGAAGAGTATGGCAAAAAATATGCGCCATGAGTGATACACTGGGAATCCCTATGCTGAGATGAGCCATGTGACCACAGCAAGTCCCGGTCCTCTCTGGATGATACTTGCTTACTGACAGGGAAGCTAGGAAAGACCTGTCAAATACAGGATGGGTGGGTGGATGGATGGATGGATGGATGGATGGATGGATGGATGACATGGAGCAAAAGCCATAATCCTAGATTCTACTAAGTAGATTTTCTCAAGAGAAAATGTACATTTGCATATGAGCTATCTGTGAGTCTACGATCGTTTGATAAAAATGTTAAGTATGATTCTGTGTAGTCTCCAGGTTTTGGAGACAGATGCTGAAGTACTAAGACAGGAAGTGCACAGAGACCATGCAACTGACTTTCACACGACTCAGAAATAAGCACAGATGAGACAGGATGGCCAGGCTGGGATGCAGCTCAGGGATGCAGCACATGCCTAACACAGCTGGGTTCCAACTCCAGCTGCACGGAAAAAATATTAATCACTGGTAAGTGGTGATAAGCCTGAGGCTCAGGTAAAAAGAAATTGCATCTTTACAAATTTTTAAGATATTTGGGGCTAGGTACAGTTCCATGCTGTAGCTGAGGTTAACCCTGAAGTGGGAAAATCTGATGACCAAGAAAAAAGTAGGGTGGGGGCATCATCAGCTCTGCCAGAGAACTGGCCTCACACTAACACTCTCATGCACCTAAGAGGCCCCAGTACATACACGGTCAGGGAACACACTCTACATTTATATTCTTAGTAGCATTTGGAAAAGGATGAGACTTCCAATCTAACTTTAAATAAATCAGTTTTTTTTCTCTTAAGTGGCAACAAACAAAAGAGACTATGACCAGAAAAACTGATCTTATTCCAATAAGTTTCCCTTTTAATTTTCTTTGTGTGTGTGTGTGGTGGGTGTGGTGTGCGCCCACATGCAGAAATCAGAGGACAACTAAGGAGTTGATTCTTCCTCCCATCACGCAAGGCTCACAGACGGAACTCAGCTTGGCAGCAAGCATGTCTACCTGCTGAACTATTAGTGCCTGCCCGCCACTCAGGTTCTGAAATCATGTGGATGTGTGGTGTGTGTCTTTGGTATACACATATGCACTGAGGTGCCCTCATGGAGCTGAGGTCCAGGTACTTGTGAACAGCTTCACGTGGGTGCTAGGAACCAAACTTGGGTCTCTTCAAGAGCAGTACCCAGTCTTAGCCGCTGGGACCACTTTCCAGCACCATTTTTGTTTTTTAGATTTATTTTTATGTGTGAATGCATCCTTGTGTGTGTGTTATTACTTGAAGAAAGAGGGCTGAAACTTTTTTTTCATAGAAAGGCAGCTTTTGCAATGGAGTTCAGCATCCTATGTCATTCACCTTGACAGATTTTCAAGCACTTCATGAATTTCACCTGAGGCTAAACCTTTAGTTAACTCTCCCAAAGGTTTTAAGTTTCTTTTTAATGTGCTAGATTTTAAGCGAATGTGTGGTATTTACTAAGTCCGAATGTGATTAACTGAAACCTGATTAACAAATCAAACAACTGTCCAATCTCCTGCTTTCTTGTGCATCCTAAGACTCAGGGCTTTCTCACTTAGCAAGGCAGACTACACAAAAGTACCTTTCTTCGCACTGAAGGAAGGAAGGAAGGGGCTCTGGCTGAGTCATGACTGGGCTCTGCTCCCGAGACAATAGCAACTGGGAAAGCCATCCCTCACAGCAGAGGTAGACAGGAAGTCATAAATCCACTTCCCCTCATTTACAAGATTTGCTCAATGAAGAATACAGCCTATGTTGAAGCGGCAGCCTTTGGGTATTACACAAAGAGATACTCATAAGACTAAAACAGACAAGTTAGTGCTACCAGAAAGAGCCTGAAGCAGATCTGGGCCCCTGATGGTGTCACTGTGGCCTGAGAAAAATGCAGAGAAACAAAGGAACTTTAAGGAAGAAGTAATAACCATCGTTCCTACTCAACACAAGGGTCGCAGGGCTCAGGGTGTAACTTTGTGTTGCAGTGTGTGTGTGAGGCTCAGGGTTTAATCCCTCACATTGCAGAAATAGTATGTCACACATAAAAGTAGTTAGCAGGACAGAATAAGAAATGGATACAGCATCTACATGAGCAGTCTTGGAATTAATCCCTCACAATGCAAAAATAGTATGTCACACATAAAAGTAGTTAGCAGGACGAATAAGAAATGGATACAGCATCTACATGAGCAGTCTTGGAATTAATCATTATTAGGGTTTGAGTTCAACTACGTCAGTAAAGGCAAATGGTCACGCTGTCTTCAGCAGAAAAATAAAGGTGTCAAGTATGTGGGGCAGGAACTCACCTGAATGTTCACAAACACGCCGTGGTAGGTCTCATACAGGACTTTGCTGCCCTTGACGTGCAGAGGAAACTCAAAGGGAATCTCAGTCTTGCCACTGGGGAGCTTTCCTGGCTTCAGCACGTCTATGGTGCTGTTGAGAATCTGGATCGGCTGTCAACACAAACCAGCTTCAGCCATCAGCACACACTGGGTCTGTCTGTCTGTCCCTGCAGTCACGCTAGCACCGGGACACGAATACACCTGCTCCTCTGTGTCGGAAGCACAGGGCTGGGGCTGGACACAGACAGCAAGTTGCTTCTGTCTTCAGAGTCTGCACATTGGTTCCTTTTTTTTTTTTTCTTCCGAGACAAGGTTTCTCTGTGTAGTTTTGGTGCCTGTCCTGGATCTCGCTCTGTAGACCAGGCTGGCCTCAAATTCATAGAGATCCGCCTGGCTCTGCCTCCCGAGTGCTGGGAGTAAAGGCGTGGGCTACCAACTGCCTGGCTGGTACATTTCTTTAAAAATTGTTACTAAATTTAGTTAATTTAGTGTGAGTGTGAATGTGTGTGTGAGTGTGTGTGTGAGTGTGTGTGTGTATGTGTGAGTGTGTGTGTGTGGAGCTCAGTTTGCTCCCCACTGTGTAGGTCATCCTAGGGATCCAATTCAGGCTGTCAGCTGTTGAACCATCTCACTGCTCCAACAACGGTTCAAACCCAGCCACAGAGGTGCTGTCCACAGTAGGAACTGAGTTCAGGTGTGCCTGTTTCCTGCTCCAGCGCTTCACTGGACTGTCCTGAGAACCCTACATGGAGAATAAGTAAGCAGGCCTACCATGAGGCTGCCTGGCCGGGCTGGCCGACGAATGGCCCGGGACTACTCCTTAGCTGGTATCTCCCAGCACTGGTACCCAGTCCCACAGCCCTCAGCCTCCTCTCGGTCCTCAGCCTCCCCTCGGTCCTCAGCCTCCCCTCGGTCCTCAGCCTCCTCTCGGTCCTCAGCCTCAGCACTGCAGCTCTGGGGCAGGGGAGGCTTCTCCTCTAGCCCCAGCTCCCACATAGACTCCTCAGAGGGGTCCACAGTGAGGAAAATAGGAATATCATTCAGGAAGTCGAGTTTTTACAATCTCTATTTTATTTTATTTTGAGATTGAGTCTCCTTCCTGTATAATGCAGACTGGCCTCAAAGTTCAGATTCTCATTGCCCCTGCCTCGGCCTCCAGAGCACTGGACTACAGCACATACCGTCACCTCGGGCTGCTTCATGCTTTTAAAGCTTTGGTTTAACATCACCCTGAGAAAATTCCTAATGAATTACAATTAGACAGATGCAAAACCATAGGACACCACTAAACCTAAGTTCAAGTGCTCCTCCTCACAGGCTTCTTCCTCAACTAGAGCTCACACAGCCTTCAGGGAGAAACAAACCCTAAGTTTGGGGAACTTTCTAGAATATAAACTCTACCCTACAAGAGCTCCCTGCTCAAAGTGCATCTCAGTGTGAAGTTCAGCAGGGCAGTGTACAGAGAGTGTGATCGACAGGCAAGAGGCACAGGCCACGAGCATTTCTGAGAAGCTCTGCCCTTGGGTGGCTCAAGTCACCCAGCACCAGCCGGGGCAGCACCCATGCAAACGTCTGCTAGCAGGACCCAGGAGCAGCACAGCCTGACTTCACAGGGCGGCTCTGTGAGAACTGAGTGTGAGGCCATGAGCCTCACAGCGCCCCTAGCTACCCAGGCACACGGCGAGTGCACAGCATCGGCGCCGCGGCTCTTACCTTCACAGAGTTGTAGAAGGCTTCGAACACACCCACACTTCTGGCACTCAGCTGCAGGCTGACAGTCCCTTCCATGGTCAAGGACACTCCCTGGTGCTGGACAGAGTCCTTGCTAGAGATGACCACCACACCAGAGAGTACTTCCTGGGGACGAGAGGCAGCGTCCAGTCAGAACAGCACCTCTCCCTCAACAATGTTGTTCAGAGATCCACACATCTGTGCAGATGTCACAACCCTTTCCACCCTCCCCAGCAACAGTGATGTCAGGCCTGGACAGAGGAGGAAGCTCTGGGCCCTTCCCCTAATGGCACCTTCCAGATACTCCCCCAGTCCTGGCTGCTAAGATCCCACCTGAAGTCTGATTCAGAAATGCTGCCAGCAAATGGTACTGCGACGGCACAAAGCCGCTTACAACACAGGAAACAGCGAAAGAGGGAGAGAAGTGGAGGTCAGCCCACACCGACACCGGAAGACAGTACCACGTCTTGTGCTCTGTGGGGTTTCGGGGGCAGGGCGTACCTTGTGTCTATGAAATGTACTAAGTATTTGTTTCCAGTACCTACTCCAGAGCCCTAAAATCCACCTGAGAACAAGGCCAGCAAGATGGTGCAGTGGGTAAAGACACTTGCTGCCAAGCCTCATGGCCTGAGTTCAATTCCTGGGACCCACATGATGGGAGAAAGCTGACTTCCACAAGATGTTCTCTGACCTCCACATACCCAATCACATAAATAATATTTCTGAATAATTAGCATTATCTCACTTTATTTACAATCAAAGCCTTTTACATCAGACTCCCAGGAGAACTTTATATTCTTATTGGAGAGTGGATCTGTGCAGCAGTGGTGGCCTTTAATCCCAGCACTCAGGGAGGCAGAGGCAGGAGGATCTAGGCTACAGAGTGAGATCCAGGACAGCCAAGGCTATTTCACAGAGATCTCTGTCTGGAAAACAAAACAAACAAACAAACAAAAAGGCAAGAGTGGCTTCACTTTGAATGTCTCAGTGACTTACCTTGCTAAGAGGTCAGTCGATAACCAAGGGCAAAGATACGGCATTGAGGGATGGGTGTCAGGGAGGACTATCCCCAGATGTTCAACTTGCAGTCACATTTGCCACCCAACACATGCCCTCTCCTTCTTCTGAGCTGCCCGGCACTGGGACCACCCACAAAGCATTGTGCCTTGGCTGCAGTGGAAGCCAAGGACAGACAGACCCGTAGGGTGCTGACTCAGCCTGGGGCATTGATGGGGTACCGAGAGGTGAGGAGTCGGCAAAGGGAGGCTGTGGTGATGTTTACTGATTGTCAACTCGACAGGATTACCTAGGAGACGAGCCTCTGGGCGGGCCTGTGAGGACTATCTAGATTAGGTTAACTGGGGTAAGGAAACCCACCCTAACTACACGAAAGAATGAAACTGAGAAAAGTAGCTGAGCACTGACATCCTCAGCTTCCTGACTGCAGACACGACTGGACCAGCTGCCTCAAGCCCCTCCACCATGAATTCACCCAGCGGACTGTGAGCCACATCAACCTTGTTCTCTCGAGCTGCCTTTGTGGGGTGTTTTATCTCAGCCATGTGAGAAGTAACTCCCACAGGGAGCACCTGCCCGACGGTCCTGGGTCCTGGGTCCTGGGTCCTGGGCTGGTTGTGACACAGCTCGGCGTGAAGCACTGCACACTAGAGCCATAGACTGGGTGGGGATGCAGGTTTCGGGTCACACAGAGGCCTAAGGAGCAGCATGAACAGAACTCAGGGTAAAGCTGGGGCAGGAGGAGGATGGGAAGAACCACCAAGGGCTCAGCAGGGAGAAAGCGGGGCTCATCACACCGATGTGCAGGGTGCATGGCGTGCACAGACCTACCCAGCGGCAGAGCCGAAGGGAAACAGCCTGCAGGGCCAGCAGGCCATCCAGTGTCCGGGTCGGCACAAGAGCAGCCGTGACTGACAAGCACAGAACCATAGAGACAATTGCTGCAGCCCAGTCTCCAACAGGCTGGGATAATTCTCAAAGCACCTTTCGTGTATTACATGAGCACTAGGTTATGAAACAGGAAAAAAAGCCTTTTCAGGAGTATTAGGTTACAAGTGAGGAGAGAGGTCCACTTACAGTTCCTAATGGTGCAGAACCTCCACGTGACCCTGCAATCCCTCCCAGTTTGAAGATGTCGGTCTTATACTCTCACATACTACAGTTCATTTGTTAGAAATCTAGCAGGACAACTGTCCTGGTCACTTATTGTTCTAGTACTGTGAAGAGACACCATGACCAAGGCAACTTACAAAACACAGTGTTTAATTGGGGGTTTGCTTAGTTTCAGAGGGTGAGTCCATGACCATCATGGTGGGGAGCAGGCAGCAGACAGGCGGGCAGGTACGAGAGCAGCAGCTAAGAGCTTATATCCTGATCCATAAATCCAACACAGAGAGACTGAGCCTGGTGTTGGCTTCAGAAACCTCAAATCCCAGTGACACATCTCCTCCAACAAGGCTTCTCAAACAATTCTACCTACTCCGGACCAAGTACTCAAACATGTGAGCCTATGGGGGCCATTCTCATTCAAACAACCACAATAATGTAGAACAGTTACGCTTTCTTTCTTTTTAAAGATTTATTTTATTTCATGAGTACAAGTGTTTTACCTACACGTATGACTGTGCACTATGTGCATGCCTAGTGCCCTTGGAGGTCAGAAGAGGGTGTGGGGTCCCCTGGAACTGGGATCCTGAGCTGGCTATAAGCCACTAAGTAGATTCTGGGAATCAACCCAGGATCCTCTATGAAAGTAGCCGTGCTCTGAACCTCTGAACAACCTCTCCAGCCCTGAGCTTTCATTATTAAACAGCATCTCAGTTTTGCAACTTTTCCTTATAATGAGCTGTTGTATATAAGGTTTCTCCTATGTATGTATGTATGTTTTTTTGAGGCAGGGTTTCTGTGTAGTTTTGGTGCCTGTCCTGGATCTCGCTCTGTAAACCAGGCTGGCCTGGAACTCACAGAGATCCTCCTGGCTCTGCCTCCCATGTGCTAGGATTAAAAGCATGCCCCACCACCACCCAGCTCTCTTTATTTTTTAAGAAGTTACATCCATGCCAAGTAAGACAAAATGAACAGAGTTCTTGGATCTTTTGGGGGGAGGTAGGTAACAGTAACCAGCCCATAGCACAGGAATCCCCTGTCATAATAACCTGGCTGTGCTGGGAGTATACCTCCTTTTTATTTCACAGCTCTAATATTCAATGGTGTCACTTTCATGAGTACATGTATCAGATTTAAGAATAAGGCATTCTGAATTCATAAAAACAATGAGCTATATTTACATTACGGGAAGATTCACTGCAGGGTTCTTCTGGCCAATAAGCTCATCCAGTGTCCCAAAGACACAACGTAACTCACAATGTCACACACAGTTTTGTTCAAGTACCTGTTAGTGCACCACACAAAAAATAGAGAATCACCACTTTGGGGCTCAAAGGTGCTAGAATTTGTACACCCTGCTTGGATGCTGACCCTTAGTCCTCCTGTCCACAGTGGCAGGGATCTGGCACAGTGCACTGTTTAGCAGGCACTTGGGATGCGGCCATATTCACATCATGGCAGAATAGTTCTGAGGGTGAACAAACTATGGGGTGTAGGAAAAAAATAGAACAATATGACCACGTAGCATCTGAGCCTCTACCATGGGTCAAATTTATGGTTGGCCTGGAAGTACCATCTCTCAGTTTTGAAAATACAGCATTTGAGTAGGTGCTGTTTCCTTCCTACCGATGAGAATTAAGACCCAGAGTCCTAGACTTAGGAATAAAGGATGGTGACTCCTGACTGCAATCCCAACACTCCAGGTGCTACTACAGGGGGACTGCTGAAAGTTCAAGGACAGCCTCAGCTACAGTGAATTCCAGGTCAACCTGAGTGACAGACAGACCGAAAAAACAAGGAAGTACCTGACGCCAAGTACACCCAAATTTGATCCCCAGGACACACATGGTGGACAGGAAAATGGACTGACTCAGTGTCTGTTTGTCTCTTACACACACACTAACATACACATATAAATAAGTGCTATTATGAAATAGTACTAGTTACATACTCCCACAGAAAATTAAAAATGTTGGCGGAAATATGGAATTAGAAGTCAAGTTTTCAACCTAACGGGAAGACCTTTAGGGGAAGGTGGCCTGGGAACAAGGCTGAGAAGGCCACATACCTTGGGATGAACACTCCAATTTATTCTTTGTTCCCCAATTACAGGGAAAACCTTATTTACAGGAATCCTAAAATCTCTACCCCTATATTTATTTTATTCATCCTCTTAAGAATGACTAGTTTCAAAATTAAAGAAAAAAATTAAAAAAATAAATTAAAAAGGTCTTTGGCCAGGCGGTGGTGGCACACACCTTTAGGCCCTTGGGAGTCAGAGGCAGGTGGACCTCGGTGAGTTCAAGGCCAGCGTGGTCTACAGAGACAGTTCCAGGACAGCCAGAGCTACACAGAGAAACCTTGTCTCAGAAAAACAAACAAACAAAAGAATGACTAGTATCTAGAATAGTATTCATACATATAAAGTAGTTTGTACTTATGTACAGGTACAGTATACACACTGTACCTATATAGTTCTTTTCTGATTAATGCCTATAAAAATCAATTAACAGTTTTCAACACCTATTAAGTAGCAGGTACTGGATACAAAGGTTAAAAATAAATAAGAAGGGCTGTTTCAGGCTGAGTGTGGTGGCGCAAGCCTTTAATCCCAGCACTCTGGGAGGCAGAGGCAGGTGCACCTCTGAGTTCCAGGGCAGCCAAGACTACACAGAGAAACCCTGTCTCAAAAAAACAAAACAAATAAGTAGAAAAAATAAAGGGCTGATTTTTGCTTTTTCCAAATTATATCTCTAGTATGTGTGTGTATCTGCACATAAATTTTATCTCTACAAAACTATTACCTGGGGAAAAAGTAGAGCCACACAGCCACACAGCTCTCAAGGGGACTCAGAACTGTTAGGTTTTTTGCTGCATTTACATTTGTTACATTTGGTCTGTACACACAGGCAGGTACATATGCACACCCACTCATTCTATGGCTAGACATTCTGAGTTACTGTGGTGAAGTTCAGCACATGGAAGGGGCTCCCTCATAACTAAGACACACTCGGGAAATTCAACACTGATACAAAGTTACTGCTTGACAGGGTTGTGCATTGTATTTTGGTCATCCCCTTAAGTGTAGTTTCACCTTAAACAATTTATTGCCTTACCTTTTAAAACTATTTATTTCAAATTATGTGCACACACTTGTGTGAGTGGCTATCTGCATGTGAGTGCAAGTGCAAAGACCAGAGGTGTCAAGCCTCCCTGGAGTGGGAGTTCCAGGTGGTGGCGAGTGGCCTGACATGGATGCTGGGAAGCCAACTTGAATTGCCTCCAAGGTAAGTACCTGCTCTCAACAGCTGATCCATCTCTCCAGCCCTTATCTTTTCTGAGACAGGATCTTATGGATCCTAGGCTTGTATCGAACTCAATATGCAGCTGAGGATGCCCGTGAACTTCTTTCTGGTCCTCCTACCTCTCACTCCCCAGTGGTTAAGAGTACAGGCATCCACCACATTTGCTTTTACAGAGCACCCACCACTACATCTGGTTTTACACAGCACCGCAGACTGAACCCCGGGCTTTGTGCACGCTGGCAACTATTTTACCATCTGAGCCACTTCCTCGGCCCCAGTTTTCTTAAGAATGGGGCAACAGCTGGACAGTGTCCCTGAACTGAGGCAGGCCAGACTGCTTCCTTTATGAACTCATTAAATATTTTGGCAGTGATCTACCATCTTGCCATAGAGTCCAGAGTCCCTTTTTTCAGGGGTGATGGTACCTTGGTGGTGTTTGGGGTTTTGGTTTTTTTTGGAGGGGAGGGGGTCTTGGAATGTTGACAGCTGGACAAAAAACCAAACGTGGCCTTGTGTCCAGAGGGTGGAAGTGGGATGGGTCACTGGAATCTTTGTAACGATCAGGTTTCCAGTTTTTAGCATCCGTTGAAGATGCTGTTCACCGGGATGTTTCCCTGTTCGGCCCCGCCTTGCTTTCTGCATGGCCAGGCACCGCACCGGACTGCGTGCAGACGCTAGCCGGTGTCACAACCGCTCGTGTCTCCGCGGGTCTCTCTAGGGTGGCGACTCCTGACGTGACGACGGGCTTCGGAGCGGAGCTTTGCATTAGGAGCGACCCGGGCCCGAAGCCCACCTGGCCTGTTCGCAAGGCTCTTCCGCACCGGCTCTGCGGCCCGAGAGCGACGGCTCGGGCCTGGGCCCCGCCGCCCGCCGCAGACGCGTCCCCGGCCCCTCCACTTACCCCGGCGTGATACACTTTATTCGCCCTTTTAATCTTGATGTCCAGGGAGGTCCCCATCTCGGGTTATCCGCAGAGGCCGCGGCGTCCCGGCCCTCGTGACCCGGCCGCCCCGCCCACTGCCCCGCCCCTCTCCCGCTCCTTCCGCAGTGGCGCCACGTGACCCGCCCTCCTTCCGGCACAGGAGCGGGACTTAGCAGGAACAGGGGCGCGGGACCCGCACGCCCACCTACACCCACACCCACTTCCGGGAAGGCTGTCCGGAGCTCGCCGTTCTCCCGGCGTGCCCCGCGGCGGGGGGAAGAAGGGGGGGGAGGCGGCGAGCCGCTCCGCGGCGGCGCTTTCCACACCGGAAGGCTGCTTTCCCGTCAGGCTGCGCTGCGGAGGTGGGCTTCCGGGAGCGGCAGCAGGCGTGTGTCCCCGCCCGTCGCCCGCTCCCTCCTTCCCGGAAGCGGCGTCCGGCTCCTGACATTCGGAGGCGCCCGCGCCCCGGACCTCGCCGCGGGACCCTGGGTGCCGACCGCAGGGGCGTGGCCCCGCGCCGGCGGCCCGCCGCTCGCTGATTGGTGGAGGGCTGCGGCCCGCCGTCCGCTGATTGGTGGAGGGCTGCGGCCCGCCGTCCGCTGATTGGTGGAGAGCTGCGGCCTGCTGCTCGCTGATTGGTGGAGGGCTGCGGCCCGCCGCTCGCTGATTGGTGGAGGGCTGCGGCCCGCCGTCCGCTGATTGGTGGAGGACCGCGGCCGGCGCCCGGCCAAGGTCTCCGGAAGCGCCGGGTGACCTCGCTCCGGCCGCGCGCTGGGTCCCCGGCCGCCAGGGCTCCTCGGTAGTCAGTCCCCCGGCGCTCGCTCTGGAAGCGGTGTCGGGGCGCTCAGGGGTGGGGGGGAGGGCGCCCCGGCGGCTGCGCCCGCGGGAGGACCGGTTCCGGGCTGAGACGGACCTGCGTGCTCGCCTGCCTTCCCCCAGCCTGCCGCAGTGGACGCCGGAAGTTCAGGGAGGCTATTTCCGCCAGCCGGCGGTTCGCCCGCGTACGGGTGTCTGAATTCCGACCTCTGGTCCGTGTGTAAACAGGACTCTTCCCAGAAGCAGAAGGGCAAATCTCAACGTTTTGTTGCCTAAAATGATGTGGTGGGGGAAAATGGCATTTAAGTTCCTTGATCCTGGTTTTCTTCAGTAGACACCACTTTTAAGGTAGCATTCCTCTGTAAAAGGTTTCGTGGATGTCAGGAGCCTTGCTTGCTCTTGACCTGTTCCGCAGGCCAAAAGCGATGTGCGGCGGCTGCAATTGCTTTTGAAGGTTAAAATGAGATGGCTCTGAGTATTAAGGGCCCCGTTTTCAGCTCTTCGCCTGCCATCAGGACCTTCCCGGGTGTCTTAAAGACTTGCCCAGCGACTCCAAAACAAGTCACTTGGGACTTACAATCACAGTCTAGAGTGTTTGCAAATCGAGAAGTAGATCCTGTTCTCCCAGACTCGACCACCATTTTCAGTTTGTGGGGTGGGGGAAGTCTCGGTGCAGGGAAAGGAAAAGTGTCGCTTTCCGTGTATCCCCATCCCAGGCTTACTGCAGCACACAGGCTCCGTTCTCATACAGATTCTAGTTCTCCGGGGCAGGCGTGCCAGATTTCCTCTTTGAAGGTTGCACACATGATTAAGTACTGTGAAGAGCTCTCCTTCCAAGAATTACCTGTGTATTGAGTCTTATGCAGTGGCTTCCGAACAATCCTAAGTTCATTCACCCCAACACCAATCTTTCTGAGTTTCCTTTCCATCCCTTAATCTCACATTAGGTACCTAAGACCACTTTGGGTCAGTTTCAGCTACTAAATATCAGAATATCAGACTATGACAAAGTGACAGTCTTGTGACCCAAGTGGAGCCCTAGGTCCTTTGCAGGGGTAATAAAATCAAAGTTGTGATTGTGACGTGGAAATAAGAAAGAAGAGGAAGGAGGCAAGCATCCTAGCAGACCACAGCGGCACCCCTCCGAACTGACCCTGCTTTTCTGTATAACGGCTGGTGTCTGAACCCAGACAGTTTCCTGGGAGATCTGTCTGCAGCTCGTCTTTTCCATCACCCCACTGCCAGCATCCACTAGTACACCTGTGGAGAGCTGTTCCTGAAAGATGGCTCGAGACCATTGATCTTCCACGGGGTTCTCTTGAGCTCAGTAAGGGCACTTGCCACCATGTCTGCTGACAACCTGGGTTCCATTCCTGGTGTAAGGAGAGGACCAACGCCCACATGTGCACACACAGTAAATAAAAGTTTATTTTTTAAACATTACACATCTTGCCTCACAGGAGACTGTCTTGTGACCGTTCCACACTGCCGTCCCTGTTTGGTCACCTTGTTCTCTTGAAACACGAGAGCAGGCCGGCATGGTGATGACACCGACTGGCCTGCCAGTGGGCTCTGCTGGCGCCTGTGAGAGATCATCCTCCCATACTGGATCCCTTCGCACCACTAGATCACAGGGCCCCAGCCTCCTGTGTTCACTCCTGGGCCTTCCTATTAACCGGAGGATTCAGAAGAAAACTGGTGGAAGCAGAATTAGATGTACACCTTTTTATTAAGTGTTGGAAAATAACTCTTGATTGTAGACATCTTTCAGGGATACTATATCTTAGTTGCTTTTTAAATTTTTATACATGTTATGGGTCTTTTGCCTACATGTATATCTATGCACACCTGTGTGCCCGGTGCTCATGGAGGCCAAAAGGACATCAGATCTGGAACTAGAGTTACAGATGGTGGTGTTGGGATTCTAACCAGGCCCTCTACAAGAGCAGCCAGCGCTTTTAGCTGCTGAGCCGTCTCTCCAGCCCCTGGTTTCCTGTGTCACTGTTGTGATGACATCCATGGCAAGAAGCAGCTCATCACTTCCACAGCCGGGAAGCAGGAAGAGGAAAACTGGTAGTTAACTAGCTTCTCCTTCCATACCGTCCAGAACCCCGGCTGGCCAGTGTTATATATTGTGCCATCCACACCTAAGGGAATCTTCTCACTTCAATTAGTCTAGAAAGTCCCTCACAGACTTGCCCAGGGATAATTCTGCAAGGTAATTCTAGAATCTGATCATGTTTACAATATTAACCATTATGCTAGTGTCCAGTTATTAGCGTCCTGGCAATTCTGGGTCAACAGCACCAGTCCCACTGGGCATTTTTAACTAGGTTCTCTCCTTTGGGCCCTCTGTAAGGACTGGAGGACAGGCTTCCTGAGCTGCTGGTGATTTAGTCTCAACAGCTCTCAACTATATCACCCTTCAAAACTTGCCTGTAACCAAAGTGAACTTTCCCCAAGGTCACGCTTCCTTTTCAAAGGCAACCTATGTCTGATGACGAATGGACTCAGGATATGAAGACCCCCTCCTTTTTCCCCAGTTCAGGACAGCTCTGAAGGACTGTTCGGGTCCAAAGCTCCCTCTACTATCAAGTGTGGCACAACAAATTATCCAGTAGTTTGAAACAACAAACATTCATAATACTGAAATATGCAGGCCAGGTACAACTGGATGACTCTGGCCCAAGGTCTCTAGCAATTTGGGTTAAGATGTTGGACAGGACCACAAGCTTATGCTATGGGAACATTACAATCTTTTCACCCAGGAAGGGAATAACAAAATGAAAGTACTTTTCCTAAGGTTTGTGAGAGTCTGGCTGTCACCCCTCCCAACTCCAGAGATGACGCAGGTCATCTGATCACCGTGCTTTGTGCTCACGTAGTTGCCGGGATAAAGGACTGCCAATCAAATAAGAAAGCAAGCAGGGGTGCAGTGTCATAGGAAAGGGCGATTTTAAAGTAAATAGAGGTGGGAGTTTCATCAGCTGATAATGAAGATGGGTCACCATAGGCTACAAACTTGAAAAGCTGTCCACATGGTTGATTGTCTTTGAGGACGATGGGGGATGTTTGTACCAGGCCATTCTCGTTGGCTGTCTTCCTGGGACTCTACATGTTTGTTTGTTTTGTTTTTAATACCTCTTTGTTGTCACATGCACCCACCCTCTCTAGACTTGCCCTCTTAGTAAACACCCTAGCCCCTCTACACTAATGACCTACACTAACGACCACTTTTTAACTTAATGATCTCTATAAAGACCTTATTTCCAAATACAATAACATTCTGAGGTCTAAGATTCAAGTCCTAGGGATTAGGATTTGAATTTGGCAGGGACACAATTCAACTTAAAATTTGTAGCAGTAAAATATATGTAACAGAAATATAAAGGTAAATGGGCTGAGACAGTTGGTAGATTTTAACACTACTCAGTTTTCCATGGTGGATTAAAAGTGAAGGCATTAAGAGCTCCAAGGAACAGAGTAAGAGGTAAAACAAATAAGCAAGACAGCCTAGGCTGCCTGGTGAGCTCCGACCAGTGAGAAGTCCCGGCTCAAAAAAAGAAAAAAGAAAAAAGAAAGAAAGAAAACAAAAGTACAAAGTAAACATAGATGGCCAGCACTTGGCCTCCAGCATCAGCATTTGGACACACATGCAAACAAAAATGTTGATCCTTGTTGAAGGTGGGGTGAGGACTTTTGTACACACTTGAATTTTCTCACAGGAGATCGGATAAATCACTGAGTCAGGTGACATTTTTAAAATATAAGCCTAAAGTATTTTTAATTCTTATCATTCTTTGTAGGTTCCTCCCAACTCTCAAGCATGCTTTATCTTAGATCATAGAATGTGTGATGAACAAGATGACCCACCAAATACTAAAAATGCCAGTCTAAAGGAAGGACTATAGAAGGAGGAGAGAGAGAGAGAGAGAGAGAGAGAGAGAGAGAGAGAGAGAGAGAGAGAGAGAGAGAGGAGGTCCTGGGGTCACATCTGACAGGCCCTGTGGAGTCAGTGACCCACCTGGGGATGGAGGAAGGCAGGGCTGCAGAACCATGAGGGGATGCCTGAGAGGCTGAGGGAGGAAAGGAAAGACTGATAGAATCAGCAAGGTGAACTGTGGGCTGACTTAGCTAATGTAGGGTTCCGGCCGGAACCAGTCATCTGGTAGCTTGTGGCCCACGCACTGGTGGCCCACTGGCTGCTCAGCTAGGCACGGTCAGATAGATACCCAGCAAACATGGCCTTTATCCCAGGTGGAGAAGTCGGAAGGAGGAGACGGGGTGTGAAGAGGG